GGAAGGGATGTCCAAGAGCCTGGCAGTCTTGGACAAATACTGTTCAATGACAGGGCTCAGGGTCAATCCAGCAAAGTGCCATGGCTTCTTGATCGATAGACAAAGCTCCAAGAGCTACTCTATCAATGCCTGTGAGAGCTGGGAGCTCGCGGGAGCACCCATCCACATGGTTGGAGCATCTGAATCGGCGAAATACCTGGGAGTTAATTTTAATCCCCTTAAAGGTATTCTGAAACCCCCTCTGATTGCGATGTTACATGACTCCATACAGAAGATCTCTGCTGCTCCGCTCAAGCCGTTTCAAAAGGTTGAAATCTTAAGGGACCATGCCATCCCCCGATTAACCTATTGTGCGGACCATGGTATGGTTGGTCAGGCCCTACTGCAGGAATGTGATAGGGCCATTCGCACTCAGGTTAAAGCATGGCTCCATCTTGATTCATCAACCATGGACGGTCTTCTGTACGCTAGTAGGAAAGACGGAGGCCTGGGCATTTCCAAACTGGTCACGCATATCCCATGCGTACAGTTGCGTCGAACAATGAAACTGCTTTCCTCGGATGACAACTGTGCTGGAACGCTTGCCAGAGCTGTCATTTCTTTTTGTAAAAAAGAAATTCAACAACTCTAGAAAGGGGCCACAGGGCTGCAGCCCCCAGGGGATTTCAATGAGAACAATGTACAACCAAGCAACATCTCCACGGCAGCCTGGAGATCAAGAGAACTGACTAAGTGGGCCTCCCTCAGAACCCAGGGTGTGGGAGTGGAGGTTTTCTACAACGATCCTGCGAGCAAACATTGGCTCCGAGGGCCCAGCTCGGTTCGCATCACAGTTTCAGAGATGATCATGGCCCTTAAGCTGCGCACCAACATGCTTCCCACTCTCTCCACTGTCACCAGAGGTCAGTCAGCACCAAGCGGAACCACCACATGTCGTCCTCGTGGTTTACATCGTGAAACCATGAGACATGTTATAGGGAAGTGCCTGGCGGTCAAAAGGAATCGCATGAAAAACCACAATAAGATCTGCGCACTTCTGGCTGACGAGGCCTCACAGTACAAATGGAAAGTGTTCCAGGAGAAGAGGTTGACCACCAGTGAAGGGAGGGTAGGGGTCCCTGATTTGGTTCTGGTCAAGGGAAAACGGGCCATGATCTTGGATGTGGCAGTGAGATTTGAGGCATCCGTTTCCACCCTACCTGACTCAGATGCCTGTAAGACAACCAAGTATATGCCTTTCGTGGAGGCAGTGAAGAGCCTTGATAGCGGTATCAAGGAGGTGACAGTCAGGGGCTTCCCCATTGGGGCAAGGGGCAAATGGTATTACAAGAACAACCAGACACTACGAGAGCTAGGAGCGTTAGAGCCCCGGATTAGGCAAATGTCATGTTTGATGAGTCGGCGGGCACTCACTCAAACAATCAATCTCTTCAAGGCATATAGAAAGCTGCAGAGGGCGAAACAAACTGACTAAGGCAATTACAACCGTTCTCCGAGTTGCGTTCATCCCTTCCTCATAGCACACCCGTGCTATTCTTTACCAGGTACCTCCATCATATATTGCACTCGGATGAGGACTGAGGTTCAAAGACTGGTGCTTCTTGACCATCGTAAGCCCAGCACCTGGATGTACATAGTTCAAGAAAAAAAAAAACCCATTAAAGAAAGAGCAAGAAAGTCCAAACTTTTTAATGCAAAAATGCTTTAAGCATTGGCCTTCAACTAAAGGCTTTTCATGGGCGGAAGCATGGCCTGCTGGTTGGGGAGCCAGGCGCAGCAATGAAAGAGCAATCTGTTCACAAACCTTCCCCTGAACATTCTGGAGTGGATAACTTGGTTTGCTGGTTTGGAGCCAAGTGCAGATATAAAGCACCAAAAGGCGGTGCCCGATAAAGCTAGCTGACTGTCTAAGAAATAAAAGAGCTATCTATTTTCAAACCTGCTGCAATTCCTAAACAAAACTTTGCTTGCTGGTCTGGAGCCAAATACAGAAAGAGATGCCCTTTCTGAACCTGTCAACCCGAGCCCTGGCATGAGGGTTCCACACAAAGATGGTGGTTTAACCGTTGGACTTATGAGCTGTTGGCCATTCTATGGGGCGCGACTATATCTGGGTGCGAGCTGGGAGTAATTCTCCCAAGTCGACGTACGACTATAAACTCTACAAAAAAGTCAGGTTGGACTAGCCATGTTTTATGGCGATGCTGACCACCACATCTCACAAATGGGGTAACAAAGAGGGCAGCTCAACGTGAGACACCCGTAAAACCAACATGTCTGGTGGAGACCAGGCGGCTCCGGCCCAGCTACAGAATGTCAAAGTGAAGAAATTCAATGTCGAGCGGGTGAATGGCAGGAGTGAATTGTGATTCAATTAAGTTAGCCAAATGCCTCGTCATCTAATTAGTGACGCGCATGAATGGATGAACGATATTCCCACTGTCCCTACCTACTATCTAGTGAAACCACAGCCAAGGGAACGGGCTTGGCAGAATCAGCGGGGAGAGAAGACCCTGTTGAGCTTGACTCTAGTCTGGCACTGTGAAGAGATATGAGAGGTGCAGAATAAGTGGGAGGCCTCAGCCGCCAGTGAAATAACGGTGAAGGCACACATATGTCAAGAACGTAACCTCTTGTTAAATATATCATCAATTTGATATTCTGGACCTCACACCAACAAATGGGGATACAATTACCCCTTAAAAGGGTAACTTTTTAAACAGGGAGTTCTACTCCATACTGGTACAAACTGCCAGTTTTAACCCAAAGTTGATCACCCGATCACTAATTGAGCATTTCTTGAAAGAGCACTTATTCAAATGGCGGTGGTGAAAATGTAGTTGCTGATATTCAAGGACCACATTCAAGTCCCTTGAGTGGGAGTAAGAGGACATCTCTGACAAGATGAAGCCTGAATCAATAAAAGCTCAATGAATGGATTACGGTGTGGCTTCATCTGGTGTTTGGCAAGTGACTGGGGCGGTCAGGGTGCAAGACCCGCTGCCCCCGAAGCAACTTCCACTCCAAGGGGACGCATCAGTGCTACATACTGTCATGAGCTGAGGCGATCTCTTCTAAACCTTTTGCTGGGACCGTTAGAGCGTTTCGAATGAAGAGTTTATGGCATTCAACACATCCGGGTGGTAGCCCTGGTACTCCTACCATAAGAACACATCGCCGTCGGGTGAGAAGGGGGCTGTCCCGCAAAACCCTCTTCCCCGTGCACAGACACAGTCGTGCGTAAGACTGATGAGTTGAGATAGAGATAGGAGGAAGAGCGATATGTGATGGCCAGTAATATACGGAGGCCAAGCGCAACGACAGAGGGAAAGAGAGTAGCACGAACACAGTACAAACACAGAGAATAATATAGACCAAACGCAAGTATTCGTGCTTCCAAAGTACGAATAATAGTCGGAACCATGGAAGCAAAGCGAGATAGAAAAAGGGAGAAGAAACTCCAACAATAAGATGATAGAAAGTCATACCAAACCTGACTAAAGATATCTTCGACTATAGTGCTAAATCTAAACACAGACACTCTAGCGAAGGAGGCGTGCCGGACATCCTGCTTATATAGATTCTGGGGAAGCACCGCCCCAGCTCAATCAACCAGCTGGGTAAAGAATTTGATGGCCCAGGAATTCGATATCATCTCTTTGCGAGAGCCGCAAAGAAAGGTCCAAACAACACGCAAACCCAACAAACCATGACACGATAGGTGTCATAAGTGAATTTTAACACATGTCCTTACCAAATATGAAGGTAATGGATAAAGAATTGCGCCTTGTACTGCGTCCACAAAGAAATCTCTGTTTTGCCACTAATTTGCATATTATTTGGCCAATACTGTCGCCATGGCAACCAAAATCGATAGGTGTCATAAGTGAAGTACAACACATGTCATACAAAATCAGAAAGAAATCGGTCAAAAATGACTGCCTGTAAGACCATCCACAAGAAAGTGTCTACAGATCGCGGACGCGGAGACGACACACGTGAATCCATAGTAGCTGCTCGACTTCGTCCGCATGCTGAAATTTGTAGCTCGATCCCCAAAGATTTCTCTGTCTCCATATTCCAGTATTTCAGCAATGGATGAATTTTGACAACACTAAGTACAGAAATGAGTCAACCGAATTCTTCGTAGTCATCTTAACAGTTCTATGTTTGGAGAGCATTAGATCAAGGACAAGCGGACTTTGGGGAAGGGTTCAAAGATATATTTTTTTTATTTTGCTTGGAAAACCAAGCACTGGAGGTCAAAACCAACACCAGATGCCAGAGAAATAAGTACGAGCAGAGCACAAAGTTTTTTGGCCAAGCTGAATGTTACCATTCTTGTGAACTTAAATGCAGATATCCTGTGTCAGTAAATATGTTCCAGAATAAAGTGAAATAGAGTAAAATTCCTACAACAGCAAAAACGGTCATCTAGTTCAAGGACAAACTGCTTGATGGCAGTTAGGAAGTAGTCATGGGCCTAAACAGGATCTGTCATGGAGGCAATTGACAATTGTTGAGCTCAAGCTATAGCCTTTAAAGTCATCAAAAGCATGTTTATCCATTTGTGTCACAATTGATGACACATGCCCATCATATAGAATATTCATGACTAAAAACTATTCTCTGAGGTATACTGGCATGTCATAGGTAGTGCAACCAGACAGACAGAGGTCATGTGCTTAAACATGATCAATCCAAGAGGCCAATAACAGTTGTTGGACTCAAGATGTGGTCTTTGATGCCTTCAAAACCCTGTGCTAAAAATGTGTATTGAAGTACTGACATATGTCCATCCTACATAATATTCACGAGCATTGCAACTGTAGGACTAAATACTATTCTTTTTGGTATACTGGCATTTCATTGGAAGAATAGGCAAGCAACTTGAGGAAACACTCCTAATTTTGAGCCTCACTGCAAACTCTCGAGATCATACACAGGATAGATAGGCAAGCAGATATTCGAGAAAGTATGACAACTAAGCACCATGCCAAGGGCTCGTCCAGGAGTTGTGCCCGGATCCTCTCGCACCCTAAGCGAGAATCATATCCCTTAACCAACGAGCCCTGATGGGCAACTGTCTCTTTCGTTATGATTGGGAATCAGCAGTATGTACCAGATCTTGCTTGACAGACAGTAAAAATGGTCAGAATGTCAAGTGAATGGATGTAGGTGAGAAAAAAAGTGCGCTGTACCTCAGTATCTTTTGGTGTTACAATGGACAGCATGGCTACCTTCCAATCAATTGACTTGGGTCAGATTCCCATCCAACGCATTCTCTGGGTTTTTTTGTGTCCTAACGTACAGCGCTTGCCTGCTCAAAAATAGACCGTTAGGGTATAAAGGCAAAACCAATCTCACTTGCAAACCATGTCAGTAGATCATGATAGATTACACATATTTCTTTAATTTGTGCCCACAGGACACATTGAATATAAAACCATGCAACAATAAACAAGTGGAACAGTAATCAGTCACATCCAGAACATATTAACTAGGAAGGAAACAAAAAAAGTCATAATCATAATACATGTACATTTATTCACGTTATACTTTGTTACATAGCATTAATCACAGAATCAGCAGCGATAAAATAGTCTATGTTTGCATTTAGGGCAGTTAAAACATTTCCAATAGTGACGCTGATATTTAGTGAAGATAGGTAACATGAGATGCATTCACAGACATTTTGTCATCTACTTCGATACACTATTTACATCTTACATTTGCTACGTTTTTGCCAGTGAGTGAACTGGCACAAGGCTTGGCAATAAAACCCATATATGATACAAAACTATTTTTACTGTTCAACATACTACGAATGAAAAATAAAGTTTTGATAGTGAATTGAGAGCTAATTTGTGGCTTGCAAATCAGCAGACTAAGTCGCCATGGAAAAATAATATATTTTAAAAATTATAATTTTAAATTTAATTATAATTTTAAAAAAATTATAAAATATTTGATTATAACACATGCACATACCAAATATGAAAGTAATTAGTCAAAAATTAGAGCCTGTAAAGTGTCCACAAGGAAAGGTGGATATTTCAGCAAAAACCTGCATATTATTTGGCCAATATGGTCGCCATGGCAACAAATACCGACAGGTGTCATTATTGAAGTGTGACACATGTCCATACCAAATATAAAAGTAATTGGTCAAAAATTGCCATGTCAAGAAATCTCTATGTTTTGCCACTAATTTGCATATAATTTGGCCAATACTGTGGCCAAGGCAACCAAAATCGATAGGTGTCATGAGTGAATTGTAACACATGTCCTTACCAAATATGAAGGTAATCGGTAAAGAATTGCACCCTGTACTGCGTCCTCAAAGAAATCTCTATGTTTTGCCAATTTATAAAATACTGTGCATGGCAACCAAAATCGATAGATATCATAATTAAAGTACACCACATGTCCATACAAAATATGAAAGAAATCGGTCAAAAATTACAGCCTGTAGAGCATCCACAAGAAAGTGTCTACAGACGCAGAGGCGGCGGAGACGACACAAAATCATAATCATAATCTGGGAGCTACACATGTACATTTATTCGATCCCCAATGATTTCTCTGTCTTCATTTTCCAGTATTGCAACAATGGATGTATTTTGACAACACTACGTCAAGTACAGAAATGAGTCAACCAAATTCTTCGTAGCCATTTTGGCTTAACAGCTCTAGATTTGGAGAGCATTAGATCAAGTACAAGCAGACTTTTGGGAAGGGTTCAAAGCTATATTTTGCTTATTTTGCTCGGAAAACCAAGCACTGGAGATCAAAATCAACACCAGATGCCAGATTGATAAGTAAGAGCAGAGCACAAAGCTTTTTTGCCAAGCAGGGTGTTACCACTGTTGTCAACTTAAATGCAGATATCCTGTGTCAGTAAATACTTTACAGAATGAAGTGAAATAGAGTAAAATTCCTACAACAGCAAAAACGGTCATCTGGTTCAAGGACAAACCACTTGATGGCAGTTAGGAAGTAGTCATGGGCCTAAACACGATCTGTCATGGAGGCAATTGACAATTGTTAAGCTCAAGCTATAGCCTTTAGAAAGACTATGTCAGCCGGGGTGCCTGCGCGCAACAAAGCAAAACTTCTTGAAAACGTTGGTACAACTATTTCAAGTTCATCTGAGATTTCGTGTTCGCGTTTCTAATCGGTTTATCTCGTGTTCATCCTCGAGAAATTTTATGAAATTTTTTGGTAAAAATTTTCTTTTTTGATCGTAGACCCTGTTCGTAGAATCATTATGTCATAGTTCGGGTTTTTGTAGGGTTAATATTGCTTCTACGTTAGCCTACGTCGTCCTATGGCAGCCGTCGAACTGGAAGCGGTCGCAAAAGGATCTATGACAGCTGCATGTCAGACAAAACGTTGCTACAAACAGGTTCTGCGAACATTAAAGACAGTTTCTTGATAAAAATTTCCCCAAACTTCTCAAGGATGCACGCGATGCAAACAGATCGAAACTCCACCACGAATTCACCGGTTTATTTCACGTTTGCAGGCCATCTTCTGTATTTAAAACAGCAATGAAGGTACGGTTTGAATTTCTGCTCCCTTGATATCACACTGCATATATGAAAGTGTTTATCGACTTACTCTACTACGCATGTGCACCAGCTGACATAGTCCCTTTAAAATCACCAAAAGCGTGTCCATTTTTGTCACAAGTGATGACACATGCCCATCATATAGAATATTCATGACTAAATACTATTCTCTGAGGTATACTGGCAGGTCATAAGTAGTGCAGCCAAGCAGCTAGACTGAGAATAGAATCCTAATTCTGTGCAACAATACAAACTCTGAACAGCATTAATCAGCTAGGCAAGCAAGTAGCTGGGAAAAGATCACAACTAAGCACCACATAAAGGGCTCATCCGAGAGTTGAACCAGGGACTTCTCACACCCAAAGCGAGAATGATACCCCGAGACTAATGAGCCCTGAAAGGGGCTGGCCACTTCCACCATGATCTGGAATGGGCTCTTTCCCTAAGATCCTATCAGTTAAGATTTTGCGTGACACGGCCGCCTTTGATTCTTTTTTCCAGGATTCTGCATTACCGTTTTCAGCGGAAAGTGTCACAGGGTACTCGGTGCCTGTGCTGGGGATGGGAATGTCAGTTTTGCAGGTCCCAATGCACAACATCGTGCTGCACTCTGATCTTTTCCAGGGCCAGATAACAGTAGGCGTGCGTTCTGCGCTGCCCATGGTGGGATTACTCTCATTCTTGGTAACGGCGTGGCAGAGGGGGGCGTGTCTGGGTTGGTGAGTCACCGGCGCCTCCGGTTGTTTCCGCGGTGCCTTTAGTGAGAAAACAACCTGATGAAAACGAGGTTAATTTCCCTGATGTGTTCACGGCATGTGCAGTAACACGTTCTATGACGCGCAACACTCCTGGCGCTGGACTTGGTGTCTGAAAAGTCTGTATTTAAAGTGATTTTGCTGAAGAGCTGAAAATGGAGCAGAGGGCAGATCCATCTCTGTCAGGTGTGTTTGAGCGGGTGTTGTCGGCGGATGAAATTAAAAATAATTTGCATGGTTATTTCTTGCATGATGAGCTCCTGGTCAGAAAAGGGATGCCTCACGGCAATCACTTTGTTGGGGATCCCATAATTCAGATTGTGCTGCCAATTAAATTTCGTGAGTCTGTGCTGAGACTGGCCCACGATGGTTCGGGGCACTGGGGTGTCAGGAAAACCTATGACCAGGTTCTCAGGCATTTCTTTTGGCCTTGACTTAAGAGAGATGTTGTGGCACACATTAAAACATGTCACACCTGTCAGGTGACAGGTAAACCAAATCGAATTGTAAAACCAGCTCTTTTGTTTCCAATTGACTTATGGCTAAGCCCCGTCCTCAAATGCAATGAGCCAATCAGTGCGTATTCTCTCCCCATATAGAGGAATTATCAGTCTACGTCACTACATATGTCACCCCGCTCTACTGCGCATGTTGACTGCAGAAAGAGAGCAGAAAGACCCACGACCATCATGTCTTGCTGTGCTGTTGGTTGCACAAACCGTTTTAACAAGAATAACAATACGCGTAAGTTTTATAGAATCCCATCCAGTCGTACCCCTTTCAAGGCAAACAAGAGATGTCTTTGGTTGCAAGCCATCAAAAGAAGCGATTGGACCGAGCAGATGATAAAAAATGCAACAATCTGCAGCGATCACTTCATATCAGGTAAGCCTCAGCTAACAAGCTAATCAACATTGCTGGTTTTATAATAAACACAATTATTGAGTCCTACACATATATAACAATGTTAATAATGAACGATTGTAAGCAATAGAATAATCGTTCAAATTGGAGTAGAATTAGCTTACAAGCTAATGTACCTTGGTTCAGTTTTGCCAAGTTGTGTGGCTAAACTTTGTTCGTAGTGTCTAGAGACACGGCAGTTTTTATTGGTACGCCAGTCGATTTTAAGGGATTAGGATAAGGATTCGGGATTATGGTTAGGGGAAGGACTAGGATTGGGATTAGGGTTAGGGTTAGGGTTAGGTTAGGGCAGGGCTTGAAATGGACACTGCCGTACCTCTCCACATTGAAATGCATTGAAAAACTGCCGTACACGTAGCAACTGCCAACTTTGTTGTAACTGATGTAGGCTACCACATGCTAGCTCAGTCACCTCTGGCCAACCATGTGGTTGTATCATTACCGTAAGTCACTGGAATACACATTATTTGTACAGAAGAGGCATCTGACGACTTCGACAGTCCTGACTTTGTCCCGTCTGTCTTCCCCTACTCAACCCAGTCCGGCAAAGACGGCGATGCAAAATTTGAGCAATAAGTATGATCACTTCTGTGTGATTTGTTGTTGACTGATCAACCAGCATGACTGGACATAGTATGACTGGAAGTGCAGGGAAGAAATATTGAGTGATTTGAAGTAACTATATTTGTTATCAGGGTTATCTGTCAGGCCATGTTGTTTCTGTTATGTCAATATTATCTGATTATCTCATTATCTCATGAAGCTCATTGAGACATGGTATGTGATTTGCACTTGGGCTACTTGAATTGAGGATGCAATAAACCTATGGTTAACCAAGTAAAGTAACACCTTTCTTTGTACTAAATGATTGCTATCTTCTGTGTGTTTCAGCTATAAGAGGAAAAGGCGAAGGGATGAAACCCCCCGCAGATGTCCAGACAATGGATGTCAGTCCACACCCACTTCCCTTTCTCCAAGAAGATTGTGGAAAGGAGGCTGGTGCTGATCTTTGTACTGGTAAGAACCTTTAACACTAACCGGACCAAGACGGTCTGTGAACCCGTTTGGGTATTTGTAAAAAGTACCTCTGTTTAAATAAAAACTACAAGACTCTCAGCCCATGACTTTTCTTAAGTATGTGTTTTTTATGTTTTTTCTGAATGTTAATATCTTCATTATTGTAGGGTACGACAGTCACTACCAGGATTAATCAGGTTGTCATGTTTATACATTTTTTTGTGAAGAAGTTTTTAGCCATGATTATGTTTGGCACAGTCTGAATGATCAGCCAGATTGTAACCATTTACTAGATATGAAAAATGAAATTTCTGAAAGGATGGTGAAATTTCTATTTGTCTAATTTCTTTTTCGGAAGATACGGTCCCGAAGGCTGTCCATGATGACCTCAAACAGAAGTACAGCCAACTTCAAACCGAGTGTGACAACCTGCGTGTGGACATCAACAACATGAAAGCCGAGAATGAACAATTAAAAGCAACACTCAGGAGTACAGTTCTCCTTTGATTCTATCAAGTGTAAAGCAGCACAGGTTCTGTTTTTCACAGGTCTGACCAGTGTCCTCTTTAATTGGGTCCTCCAGATAGTTAAAGACAGTGTAGAGGTTGTGCGTGGCTCTCTGACCCTGGAGGACCATCTATTGGCCATCCTCATGAAACTCCGATTAGGGCTCACCAATAAGAATATTGCATTCAGATTTAATGTTACCGAATGTGACATCTCAAAAATTTTGAGAAGTTGGCTTCCTGTTATGTCTCAGACTTTGACACCTCTAATCAAGTGGCCAAGCAAGCATGCCATATTAAAGAATATGCCAAAATGTTTCAAACCTAAATACAAGCGTTGCAGGTGCATTATTGACTGCACTGAAATTTTTATTTGCAGACCCACTAATCTAACAGCCAGAGCCCAAACATATTCAAATTATAAGAGCCATAACACAGTTAAGTATTTGGTTGGCATGTCACCTGCAGGGGCAATTACTTTTCTGTCTGCAGGTTGGGGTGGGCGTGTTTCTGATAAACAACTCACAGCTGAGTCTGGATTTTATGACCTTCTGCAAGTAAATGATGAGATACTAGCAGATCGTGGTTTTACCATCAGAGATGAGCTTGCTTTGCATGGTGCTACCCTGAGGATCCCTCACTTTACCAAAGGGAAAAAGCAGCTGTCTGCTCAAGAAGTGGAAACATCAAGGTGTTTGTCCAACGTTAGAATACACATCGAAAGAGTAATAGGTAGATGGAAAACTTTCAAAATTCTGACAACTGTTATTCCACTCTCACAGGTGGACCTGTTAGATGACATGGTAATTGTGTGTGCCGCATTAACAAACATTTGTAAATGTATAGTCCCTAGAAAATAACTTGTAAATACTTTGATAAAGTATCCAAGAGTCAAGGATACATTTAAAGCTTTTTATTAGTCTCATGTATGCACAGCAGCAGTAAAATGAGAACTTTTTGCTTTTCATTTTATAAGATTATATATACATTAGAAATACACTAATTTGAAGAACCTAAGTGCAAACTTTCAATGGAAAACAGGAAGTTGCAATAAATGATGTATTTCAAAGTGCATCGTTTTTAGGTTTTTCTTTTTGCACCGTTCACAATGCCATTCTGTAAACTTTCTATTTATTTTTGCATGCTTATTGCACTTTACACAGGTGGTGATCTTTCCAAACTCTGGCCTTTCACAGTGCGAGCGGACTGAAGGTGCTTGCTGTTTCGGGTCCATGCTGCGTGTTAAGAGCTCAGGCAAAAGACTTTGAAGAACTGTTCACCAATAGGGAGGACTGTGTTCAGCATTTCTTCATCTCTGGCTACACGAGTGATGATTAGATCCCGCTGCGTCCAAATCACAAAATCGCAGTACTGGACACCACATACAAACGTGAAGCTGAACTTGACGGTAGTATTCATGGTTTTTCTTTGGATTGAATGATTTGTCCAAGCAAAAATCTGTGTCTTCACTGCTCCCTGTCAGACCATCACGGTATTTGTATGGGCACTTGATCTCTACAGTTCCTCTACCACAGCAGCTACAGCTTGCCACTCCATCTGGAGATGCCCCAAGATGGGGGTTGTCTGGATGTACAACAAGACCACAGAGTGCCACATTGAAGTTTTGATGATGTGCTTTCATTGCTTCAGTGTAACATTTTCTGGCAGTGGGCTCATTTTCTCTTCCCCACTTTATTGCATTTAAACCAGACAAGTCTTTGTTGTCATAGTGCATTATCTGTTTGACTAAGTTTGTTTTAGCTGTCTCAGCTCTGACAGTGCATACACGATGTAGGGTGGTGCTAGTTATGCGTCCTATTCTGTGTGTTTGCCAAGCCTGTGATTGGGCCTGATTTTTAGTAGTGCAGTCAAGGTTCACACACCTCCTGTGTCATTTCCTTCCTCAGTCTGGAAAATGTCTCATCACTCTTCTCCTGTAATTCGGCTGAGGAGAGGCCTCACAGACTCTCATCATACAGAGCTCCCAGTGGCTCCAGCGGGTCTTCGTTCTCTTTGTCAGATTCGGATGCTGTGTCTGTGTCACTGCAGTCCAGCCTAGTGAGCACCGCTGCCTTCGGTTCCAGTAGTTTCAGTTTCTTCATGTCTTCATCTGTCACCTCTGAATACATAATAAAATAGTTGTTAGATGATACACGAAAACAAATTGTGTAGGATACAACATAGTACTGTAG